CTGGACTCAATCATCCAGCATCCCTAGTACTCTGGGAGATGCATAGATCATTCAGAAAATGTTCTACCCAGGTCTACAATTCCTAACCTTGTCCCTGACAGATATTTGCACCCTAATCATAATCGATGATGGCATTGTCTGTCATTTAAATAATTTAAAGAATTAAATAAGTCAGTAATAGCTAACTGTCACAATAAAGAGGTGATGTAGCATTTAACTGGAAGGATGTCATCATCATCAATTGAAACAATGAATCATAAAATGTGATGATATTGCACATTAACGACACAAGAGGGAGCTTCACAGGTCTCTTCAGGGAATGGAGGATTTTTGGTTTACCTAACTATACATATGTTTACATTATCTTGGGTATTAACACGAATCGTCAATTTAAATACTTGAATCATGTAATGAGATGACCTGTGGCACCAAATTCCAGGTGACATGGATGATATAATCATTGTGATGGCTCAGCAGTTAAAGGCTAGGCTCACAACCAAAAACACAAGGCTTGGTTTTTACATAAGAAATGAACTAACAGCAGGTGGGATCCAGCCTTGTATGAAGGATCTGGTTGCCTACTGGAGCTAAGCTACCAATGCTGTCATTGCCATCAGACATCAGAAAAGGATAAAATATAATGAAGGTATAATCCAAATGACCTATACTTCAAGAAAAATCATAAAGATAAGTCTGTTACACTAATGCTCATCCCAGGATCCTATGCCTTCATGGATTCATTTTGGGACAGATATATAAGGGTAGCATCAATTTTCAGCTGCCAGGATTAGAAGAGGAGAGAGAGGTTTTCCTGTCTAGGGTTATGTCTTAGTTGTAGGTGAGGCATTGGAGCAGGCCAGCCAAGTGGTTAGTTAGTATTACTACACTCCAGATGGAGTCATTTCTGTGCTTCATCACCTTCTTGAAAACATTGGGGTCACTGCTTAGAGCTGGGGATCCCTGTTAGTCATGGTAAGCTTTTTTTCATCAAACATTTTAGATGCCTATTCAGCAGATCTCTGACAATTTTGAAGACCATCATCTATTAAGTATATCTTAGCCAAATAAACTTTGCTTGTGTTTAATTACTCGTGTTAGGTTTAAATGTGAAAACATATATAGTAGGTCAAACAAGATTTACTTCTGTACAAATTGCATTTATACTTAGCATGACTACAAATATATTTCCAAATATATTAAGGCTCTGTCATCTCCAACAGTTTACAGTAAAAATAACAATTTCTGAAATGAAGCAATTTTAGTATCAAGATAAAATTTGTAAAACATGAGTAAATATAGTTCACAGAGAAACTGGAAACTTTACTTTCCTGGTCATTATTTAGAGAAACATTTTAGAATATCAAATTTTCTTATTGACTTAGTTTATCGAAATGACTAAAACTTAATCAGTTTATTAAGGATAAGGAGATTAGCCATTCATTCTAAAATCAGTCTCTTAGCCTGAGTAGACCTTAGCAAAAGAGAGACCCTTTTATAGAATTAGGTCATTGTCTTGCTCCATCACAAAATACGAGCTTCCCAGTCTCTAGTATTTAGCATTTGGTGCTCATAGCTGTGGCCTCCTATAGTTTTAGCCTTTTATTTATTTATCAATAATAAAGACTACCTTATAAATTTAAAATGTCTCAGAGACTTATGATTCTAAATATTTTTAAATGTTGTTCCTTAAAAATATCCAATTATTTTTAATTTAAAAGTTATGTAAAACTTTATATTTTATCTTAAAGCTAAAAATCTCTCAACTTGTGCACCTGCCATATCAATAAAAGAAAATAAAGTGCCATTTTATTTCAAGAGTACAAATGCAGGGCATAACCATAATCTTCATAAAGTAAAACCAAGTTCCAACAGTGCAAACAATTCTGTCCTTAGTGTCTGGAATACTTGTGGGGCTTGGGTCACCTCTCTGGCGCCACCCTAAGCAGCACATATAGCCTGCCTTCTAGATTCCAACCAGCTCCACAACGTCTTTTATGTCTTTAAAACCAATATCACCTGGGAGACTTTTATGTTAGAAAGTCTTGCTGTCAGCATAAGTATGTCTTTATATATGAATGTTTGGTACTACTTTAATACCATATTAAACATGCATTGTTTTTAAATCCAATACTTTATAACCTTATTTTCAGGGCAAAAATCACTGTATAAAAATCTATCATAATCTAAAGTATCTTGGTGAGATTACAGCATGTAGTTATCTTTAAGTGAGATGGTAGTTAAGTTATATGACATGCATCTCTTCCAACCCTAATGATAATTGCTGCTAGTCTCATGGATGCCTACAGATGGCAGCAGGCCACATGTTGCTTATATCCCCAAATGAAACATTTCATATGATTCCTTTAAGATTACATATTTATCCGTTTTAAACTATCAATCCTGTGCTATGAGTTTAAGTCTTTGTGTTACAGCATCACATTTTAAAATTTTGATTTATTTATTTATTTTACTTCCTGACTTAATTTTTTCTTGCCTCCTCTCCTCCATATCAGAAAACACAGGACTATCCAGGCAAAACAGATTAGACAAAATTTTCCCAACCTTCTTTAGTGTTGTAATCAAAAGGGAGAGACACCCTGGAAGCTGCTTTAGCAATGCCTTATAGGGAATGGTGCTGAAGCTGAAGCTCCAAACTCACAACAGTGACAGAGATATGTGTTCTCAGCAGGGTAGCCCCAGCAGCATCTGTCCTCCGGCTTCAACATGGGTCCAGGGGCTTTTCTCCTTATCTTCCCATCAAACCCAAAGCATGGTTATGGGCATTGCATTCTGTCTGCTCCATGCATAGACTTGCCACATACTTCCTTCAATCCTCATTTACAGAGTGACCTTTGGAGTAGCACTCCAGCTTATTCATCTTGTCTTTTGTCCATTCAGTGGTCAAGAGTCAGCAAGACAGAAGCAAGACAAGGACAGAGCCAAAATGACAACATAAAACACAAGAGTATGGCATCAACAATCAGAATCATTCAGAGAAGTTCTCCAGTCTAAGATAAATTCTCTTAATAAATAAGAGGCGCTCTTTTCTCCTCAATAGCCTCTCCACACAACCAGATGCCAGGAACTCAGGCCACTCTTAGTTTTCCTTCTTAGCTCCCTGAATGACTGCCATCCCACCTGGGGCCTGTCTGAGCTCTTGGATTGGCCTACACTGTCCTGGGTAGCCTTTACAGTTCCTGAGCTTTTCTGTACACTCTAGGTGTTGGAACTCTGCTGATAAGCATCAAGGTGCTGGACCTCTGCTAGTTCTTTTCAGTCCCCAGTTACCAATACACCCCTGGGGTACCAAAGCAAGTGAAAAGAGTGGTGGCTCTGACTGAGTTCCCAATTAACCAAAAACAACCAGTGGGCTATGGGAATTTTCTCTTTGTCCTAGACCAAGGATTGGTAGTCTTCATCAGGACCCTTATGTCCCCATATAGGGATCAATCAATCTGCCATACATAGAATTCAGAAATCTCCATAGGAGATAAAAATACAATTATGCTTGCTACTTTTCTTCAAGTATAGCCTTTTATCTTGGGAGTCAGCAGGGTGGAAAGTGTGGTCCCCGAATGCATAGCCCAGTTTCACCAGAATTTGAGTGGAGTGATTTTTCTTCTTGTTGGAGGACCTCCAAATCTTGATCCTGAGTTTGTTGAGGAAAGAAAAAAGTTCAATAATTTTTAGCCAAATTTGAAGCAATCTTTAATTAAATACTTGCCAGAAGGATGGACTATAGCCAGTTCCACTCCTGCATTCCTAGGAAATGTCCACAATTCATGTTTTCAGAAGCGTACTGTAGTGAGGTAGTCCTTCTGTAGCACTGACCACGCCCATTGGGGGGTGGAGCGATGGGCGGAGGTGACCTGAGGAAGGAGGTCGGAGGGGGCCAGGAAGGCGCTCTCTTTCTGGCGTGACTCGGACAGGAGAGGATCGGGTTGAATTTCCTGGTGTTCATCTGTCTAGGTTGTAAGTTATTTCTCCCTGAATAAACATCTATTCGGCCTATTTGTTTATCCTGACCCTTATTTACCACAATAGATAGAATTCAAAGCATAGAGACAAAGATTCGAAACATTGAAAATGATAGAATTCAAAGCATAGAGACAAGGATTCAAAACATTGAAAATGATGGAATTCAAAGCATAGAGACAAAGATTCGAAACATTGAAAATGATAGAATTCAAAGCATAGAGACAAGGATTCAAAACATTGAAAATGATGGAATTCAAAGCATAGAGACAAAGATTCGAAACATTGAAAATGATAGAATTCAAAGCATAGAAAATATAGAAAGAAAGATTCAGAATATTGAAGATGGCGTTGGCGAGCTGAAAGGTATAATTTGTTTAATGTCAGATACTTCAATAACCAGAACAGAAACAATGCAATGCATTAACAAACTAGCAGAAACAGCCCACTCCTGGTCGGAGGAAGCTACTAATAAGTTTAAAAAACTGGAACATCAGATAGAAAGACTAGATGACAGAATCTCTTCCATGTCTGAGGATAATGGCAAGCTAGCAGATAGAACATTGTTTCTGGAAGGCAGTTTACACGCCATTCAGATAATATCTAAGGATGATAAGATTAAAAACATGGAATCATTTGTAGTTGGAGAAAGTAAGAAACTGACTGATACAATGAAGTCTCTAGAAAGTTATTTGATTCAAGAAGTTCAGACACTCAAAGAAACAATGGTGAATAGATTTCAGGCTTTAGAAGACCTTCAGTCTGATACATCAGAAGAAGAACTACAGGTAATAGGGCATGAAAAAGATTTAAAATTTTCCACACCATTTAGGGTCAGGGGAGCTTTCCCTGTATCTATTCATGAAAAGCCAGCAACGAAGAAACATCCAAAAGGTGTCGTTGCATATCAGTGGGAACCAATACGTATGAAAGATTTAAAAGGTATAAAGGAAGCAGTAGTCTCTTATGGCATGCATTCACCTTATGTGAAGCAATTAGTAGAATCATGGGCATGGAATAACAAGGTAACCCCTAAGGATTGGGATCAATTAATATCAGCTGTCCTTGAAAGCGCCTCTCAAATAGAATGGAGGGCTTTATGGAGAGAGGAAGCAAAAGCTCTTGAACTTCAGGGCTTAAAGAAAGGGTATAAAGCTCCCCAAGATAAAATTCTTGGTGAGGGTCTTTATGCTGACCCAGAAACCCAAGCTGCCTATGATGAACACATCTTGTCTCTATGCAGTACAGCAGCTTTGAATGCTTGGGATAAGGTTCATGAATTAGGAGAGAGGATAGAACCTTATACCAAGATAAAGCAAGGACCTAGAGAACGTTTTAGTATCTTTTTAGAAAGATTATCTAGGGCAGTACAATTAGAGATAGCAGACATAGATGCTAGGCGAATACTCATAGAATCTTTAGCTTATACGAATGCGAATCCTCAATGCAAACAGGTGCTTTGGCCTTTAAAAATGCGATCAGCACCCTTGGATGAATGGGTCCTATATACAGGCAACATTGAGTATAATGACAATAAGACTGAAGCATGGATAGGAGAAGCCATATCTAAAGGAAAGAGAAGATATCAAGATAACAGAGTTCCTTACTATGGTGACTTAGAAGCTTGGGTAGGAGAAGCCATCCCCAAAGGTTTGAAAAGATATCATAATGTCAGATGTTATAACTGTGGTAAGATAGGACATCTAAAAAGAAATTGTAGGCAAAGCTTCCCTAGAAGTAACACCCCCAGGAATGAATCAAACAGAAGGCCTCAGCCTTCTGGGTTATGTAGAAGGTGTGGCAAAGGCAGACACTGGACAAATGAGTGTAGATCGACCAGAGACAAGCAAGGAAACCCTTTACCATCGGGAAACTCCTTGGGGGGCCTCTCGAAGGCCCCCACATCACAGGTGGTTCGAACATTCCCAGTCACAGTGGAAGACAATCTCCCACAGGACAATTAGAAAATTCTGTGCCTATTATAAAAACTCATACTGCTCTGGATGACGAACTAGTGACGGAAGTTGAATCAAACATGACAGAAGGAAATGAAAAACGTATATTTTGGCAAACTGCTATAAATAGTCATAGGCCTAGATTGATAGTTAAGATGAATAATAGACTGTTTGAGGGTCTGGTGGACACTGGAGCTGATGTAACTATCATATCTAATAAATCTTGGCCTCAAAGATGGCCCCTGCATGAGGTAAATGTTCAATTCTTAGGGATTGGAACCCTGGCTCAGGTAAAACAAAGCACGAGATGGATTGACTGTATAGGACCAGAAGGACAGAGAGGGAGGTTGAGACCATATGTGGCTGATGTAGTGATAAATTTATGGGGTCGTGATCTATTACAGCAATGGAATACACAGATTAACATTCCTCCTGTATTAGATAGGAACCATAGACGACCTCATGATTGTGGAAAGAATACTGTTAAGTACTATACAAGACAGAGACCAAATATCCAGGCAGTACAAAAACAAAATACAAATGCTGAACAAACAGAGGAACCAAAAGCCCTACCTTTAAAATGGCTAACAGAGGAACCTGTCTGGGTAGGACAATGGCCTATGACCTCTGAGAAGTTAGAAGCTTTAGAAAGCCTGGTTCAGGAACAGCTAAATGCTGGACATATTGAGGAATCAACCAGCCCTTGGAATTCTCCTGTATTTGTGATCAAAAAGAAATCTGGTAAATGGAGAATGCTTACAGACCTGAGAGCCATCAATAAAGTTATCCAGCCAATGGGCTCTCTACAGCCTGGAATGCCCTTGCCTTCTTTGATATCCAAAGAATGGCCTATTATAGTTATTGATTTAAAGGATTGCTTCTTCACTATACCTTTACAAGAACAAGACAAAGAGAAATTTGCCTTCACGGTACCTAATTATAACAATTCTCAACCGGTGAAGAGATATCAATGGAAGGTTTTGCCACAGGGAATGCTAAATAGCCCCACCCTGTGCCAATATTTCGTACAAAAGCCGTTAGAAATAATTCGTAAACAGTTTCCACAATCCATAATCTATCATTACATGGATGATATATTGTTAGCTGACTCTAAAGGAGAAATATTAGAAAAAATGTTTGAGAAAGTAAAGGAAGTTTTACCTCGCTGGGGATTACAAATTGCACCTGAAAAAATACAAAAAGGAGAGTCTATCAACTACTTAGGATATAAAATAGGTCTACAGAAAATTAGACCACAAAAAGTACAGATCAGAAGAGATCGCTACCAGACTCTTAATGATCTTCAAAAATTACTAGGAGAGATTTCTCAACTGCAAACCATAATTGGAGTAGAAGGGCATGATTTGAAAAACTTGAAAATGGCCCTAAAAGGAGATAAGGACTTGAATAGTCCACGAATACTATCAGCTGAAGCTGAGAAGGAATTAGAATGGGTAGAAAAGAGGATACTAGAAGCACATGTGGACCGTGTGGATCCAAACCTAGACTGTATTCTGGTTATATTACCATCTAGAGAATATCCTTCAGGGATTTTGATGCAGAGAGAAGATATCATATTAGAATGGATATTCCTACCACATAAACAGAATAAAAAACTGAAAATATATATAGAAAAGATCTCTGACTTGATTATAAAAGGTAAATTAAGACTTCGTCAGCTAATAGGAAGGGACCCAGCAGAAATTATAGTACCTTTAACTAATGAGGAAATTTCTTCCTTATGGAAAGATAACGAATATTGGCAGAGAGCTTGCAGTAACTTTTTGGGAACAATTAGCAACAACTATCCCAAAACTGAGAGAATCAAATTCATAAAGAAAACGATTTGGATTCTTCCACGCATTGTAAGAAAAACACCTATTTCTGGAGTTCATACATTCTACACTGATGCAAATAAATCAGGTAAGGCAGGATATAAATCAGGAAATATTAGTAAAGTGGTTCAAAGCCCTTACAATTCTGTACAAAAGGCAGAATTGTATGCCATTCTCATGGTACTTATGGATTTTAAAGAACCCCTCAATATAGTTACTGACTCTCAATACGCAGAGAGAGTCGTTTTACACATTGAGACTGCAGAATTTATTCCTGACAATACAGAATTAACTTCATTGTTTATACAGTTACAAGATACTATCAGAAAGAGGACTCATCCTATATATATAACACACATCAGATCCCATACGGGTCTGCCAGGTCCTCTAGCACAAGGCAATGATGAAATTGATCGTTTATTGATAGGAAGTGTGCTAGAAGCCTCAGAGTTTCATAAGAAACACCACGTGAACAGCAAAGGTTTAAAAAAGGATTTTTCTATCACTTGGGAACAAGCCAAGGAAATAGTAAGGAAATGTCCTACTTGCTCATTCTATAACCAAACTCCTTTACCACCAGGCAGTAACCCTAAAGGTATAAATAGGAATGAAATATGGCAAATGGATGTGTTTCATTTTGCAGAATTTGGAAAATTAAAATATGTACATCACACTATAGATACATTTTCAGGGTTTCAGTGGGCTACTGCTCTGAGCTCTGAAAAGGCTGATTCTGTTATAACGCACCTTTTAGAGGTAATGGCCATTATGGGCATACCTGCACAAATAAAAACTGACAATGCTCCAGCATATGTCTCCAGCAAATTGAAACAGTTTTTTGAGTATTACAAGATAAAGCACATAACTGGTATACCACACAATCCTACAGGACAAGCAGTGGTTGAGAGATCCAATCGTACTTTAAAAGAAATGCTCCATAAACAGGCAGGAGGAACCAAAACACCCAAACACAGATTACATAATGCTTTATTAACATTAAACTTTCTTAATGCTGATGAAAAAGGAAAAACAGCTGCAGAAAGACACTGGACAATAGAAAAAACTTCTGAACTAAATCAGCCAGTGTATTTCAAGGATGTACTGACCTCAGAATGGAAAGCAGGATATGTGTTACGTTGGGGTAGGGGTTTTGCATTTGTATCTACAGGAGAAGAAAAACTATGGATACCATCTAAGTTAATCAAGATCCGAGTTGAACAAGAGAAGCATCTTAATGAAGAGAAATGACAAGTCATCCAACAAACTAGGTCCTATGAGGTGTGCGGAGGCCTCTCAAAGGTAGGGGAAGTGTTCTGTTCTTGTTTTTACAGGAAAACAGAGAAAACCTATCATCAAACAGCCAAAAGACACTGAACATGTAGGTGCCTACAGAAGAGAAGACGGCTTTTCAGAAACAATCACTTAAGGAAGCAGAATCTGATATATGGTAAAAAAAAAAAAAAAAAAAAATTTAATTGTAGTAAACTATTTCTATATAGAAATCTATTTCTCTCTATTATCTAGTATTCCTGAAGTCCCAAATTTTGTAAACCAATGCTGGCTTTGGAGTTGGATTTGGCTTTCCTTCTCTAAATTCAAGCATGTTGTTAAGATTAAATTCATGGTTTCTGCCTTAAATCAAGAAGCCAATTGGTGTAAGGCAGAAGAAACAAAATCTGGGGACTCATATCTTATGCAATTTTCTCTCTGAAATCCTAATTTTCTCACATACTTTTAATGCTTATTGTTGTCTTTCCCTAATGCATACCTTAAAACTTGAAAATTTTACTTTAATATTGATGTGTAACTTTTCCACAAGGAATAATAACGATTCCTAACAGCAGTCTTTGAACTTTCCGGAAAGAAGATGGGGCCCCACATCATCATTTCCACTTGACTCAACCTGATGCATCGGAACTACAAACATCACCCTAAAACCGGTTTGAGACTGTTTTGCTCGAGACAACTCATGACTAGCTAGCTGTAATGGTGCACCTTTTTATTACACCCTGGCCAGTTTCAAATAGAACTACAGTCAAGAATTTTCTGCCACACAGTGACTAACTACATATGTCACAGCCAGTTCTGTTGAGAAATTTGGTTGCTAAAAATTTTCTTCCTACAGGATCCATTGGAGCAATCATCGTCCCATTTCAGCAGGAAGTAATCTTAATATGACTACGCCCCCTTTCCCTACCCTTGGAAATTTGGGATAATAGTCATCGTCTTTGGGTTGGTTTTAGTTATTTGGGATTGGGTGATGCTTACACTC